TTGGCGCAGAACTCAGCAGGAAGCGCAGCGCGGTAGTGGGTGTCACTAGTGCGAAGGTGCATAATGAGGTCAGCGACTGTGGGAAAGGCGGCGAGGTCAGGGAACAGGTACGGCAGCATGAGGCGGCTAAGGGCAGCAGTGGCAGGGGAAGAGTAGCGTGCAACTACAGCGTCGTACAAGGTCTTAGCACTCTTGTACTGACTAAAATGCGCACGCTCAGTGGTCGGTAAGTGGCGACGCACAGCAAGACGGGCAGCAGCATCGCGTGTGGCCCACTGTGAGCGAACAGTGCTGTCAGCATCGGCAGCAGGGGCAGCAGAGGCACCAGAGGTGAGATCGAACAGGGAGAGTCCGTCTGTCCTATCGCACTGTAGGAAAAGCTGCAGGTCATCGACCCAGACCTCAAAGTCAACAGCCCCAGCCCTCAGCATCAAAGGTAAGGACACTGGGGGTAGCCATGACAGCAAGCAGTCTAGCAGTGAGAGCAGTAGGCTAGGGGCAGCGCAGTGGCAAAGGCGCTGCTCGGGAGTGCTCTCACTAGTCCGGGTGGGTACGGGCGGGTCGCGCCGGCGGAACAGGGCCGGGAACTGCGGGCGTCAGCGGCTCGACAGCGGCACCAGCGGCTCGGCGGCAGCGCGGCTCGACGGCGGCGGCGGCGGCACGAAGGCGGCTCGGCGGCGGTGGCGGCTCGACAGCGGCGGCTCGACGGCGGCGTCTCAATAGCGCGGCTCGAGCGGCGGCGGCGGCTCGACGGCGGCGGCGGCTCGACAGCGGCGGCGGCGGCTCGGCGAGTAGGCGGCTCAGCAGCGGCCGCAGGAGGGCGGCAGGAGGGCCGCGAGAGGGCGCGACGGAGCCGCGAGAGAGGGCGGCGACGGGGCCGCGAGGGCGGCGATGAGGCCGCTGAGGGCGGCGACGGTGCCGCTGCGGGCTGCGAAGGGGCCACTGAGGGGAGGCGACGGGGCCGTTGAGAGCGGCGAGCGGGGCCGCTAGAGGGCGGCGACGGGGCCGCGAGAGGGCGGCGACGGGGCCGCAAGAGCGGCGGCGGGGACCCGCAAGGGCGGCGACGGGGCCCGCTGAGGGCGGCGACGGGGGCCGCTAGAGGGCGGCGCCGGGCCGCGAGAGTGCGGCGACGGGGCCGTAAGAGTGGCGGCGGGGCCGCTAAAGGGCGGCGACGGGGCCGCTGAGGGCGGCGACGGGGCCGGAAGGGCTGCGAAGGGGCCGCTAGAGGGGCGACGACGGGGCCGCTGGGGGGCAGGCGACGGGGGCCGCTGAGGGCAGCGACGGGGACGCTAGAGGGCGGCGACGGGGCCGCTGAGGGCGGCGACGGGGCCGCTAGAGGGCGGCGACGGGGCCACCAAGGGCGGCGACGGGGCCATGTAGGGTGGGGCCACGAGGGGCCGCTAAGGGCGGCGACGGGGCCGCGAGAGGGGCCGTGAGAGGGCGCGAAGGGGAGGACGGCACACAGGGCGCGCCTCGGTCAGGAGCGACTCGCTCTCCGGGCAGAAAAAAAAGTTTAATCGATTTTCAGTGGTGGGCCCTAGGAACAGTTCCCACTAGGGAACCTGCTCTATACCATGTGAAGAAATGAGGAATGAATGATGAACTAGGAAATGAGTTGGGTACAAATATGAAACCCTAGAAAGCTGTACCCCATACTGTCTACCCCACTACAGCCTAGAAAGACTATAGCATATAAGTTTGACACCTATTTCATTCCAAGCCGCGGTCTGCCAACACTGCAAGTCGACGGCGTGCCAATGCTGCAGCAAGGCGGCTCAGTGCGTTGCACCCGCAGGACAGCATCGCAACCACGTCGCATGTGCTCGCAGATGATTGGCAGACTGTGTCTTGTCACATGCAAAGCGCACAGGCGGATACGTGGAGAGTTCGACCAGCAACCACCAAAAACCATGTTGACGAGAAATGACCCCGCCATCGATTGGGCGAAGCAGACTTTGCACTCGAATGCGCGCAGAAGTAGACGGAGAATGCGCGCCGAAGTCGACGTCGACCTGTCCGCAGAAGACGACGTCGCCGGCACGTAGAAGACGACGTCGACCGTGCAATTAAGTAATGCTCGTCGAGGGGAGCCCGTCGACCAATGCTCCTCGACAGGTCTTGGCGTACCAACGTCCTCTGCGAACTCGTCGACGAGTGTCCTCTGCGAGCGGGTTGACCAACGTCCTCTGATGAAGACTTATGCGGACACGTCGTCGTCGACTTCTGCACCAACACACTCGGTCGAACTCCGCGGACAGTTCTAGGTCGAACTCTGTGCGCACTCGACGGGAACTTCTGCATGCTGTTAACGGGAATGGAGTGTTGGCCCCGCCCTCGCTTGGGCAACGCCGACGACTTGGTCGGATGTACGGGAGTAGCAGCCGACTGTTCACAGTGGAAGAGCTGCTCGACAGGATTTGTCGAGCTGCAGGGGACCACTGTGGTGCTGCTGTCGACAAGGGAGCTCGACGGCTGCAACTGACTGGTCTGGGCGACGGGTGGGCCGTCGACCAGGAGGGGCTGTTCGACCGGGAGGTTGACCTGAGAAGTGAGCAGCGGTCGACAAGGGGAGCTTGTCGACAACAGCTGTCAGTTCTGGTCGATCGATGATCGACCAGAGGGACCCGGTGGTCGACCAGAGGCACTTGGGGTTGTCCAGGTCGACTGGGTAACCTGCTCGGCGAGTTCTGCGGAGGCACGCAAACGTCGTCGAGGTCGCGATGGCGAAGGCAACTTCGGGTTGGTATCCCGAAGTCGATGTGGCTCGTCAGGCGCAGACAACAGCCGACAGATGCACAACAGTGCAAGTCGGGCAATCGTCTGCGCGCATCTGCGAACGTGCGCACTGCTGTCTTCTGAGGGGCAACGCTGGACAGTCGTTCTGCTGCAGCGTTGGCACACCGTCGACCTGCTGTGTTGGCAGGTCGCCTTTCTGCAGTGCTGGCACGGCACTTCTACGCAACGCTGGCAGGCGGTCGACCATGCAGTGCTGTCATCGACCAGGCTAGCTGCAGAGTTGCTAGGTGCCTAATGTAGTCATTGTTGTCATTGCTTGTTCAACAATTCTGTATTTCCAATCTGGTTAGTGAAACCCTTGCCGATTTCTCCCATGATTGCGCAAGCACTAAGGAACTAGGCAAAGCCACGATCACTCCTAGTAGTTCGTGCTAACCCCCGTAGTCTAGCTCACCACCGTTGTAGAGTGTATCTCCACACACGCGAGGGCGGGGCCATTTTCCGTCAACAATTGGTCAAAATAAACTCAAGCTTTGTAAACAAACAAAGTGACATGACTGTATATCATTCAACCGAAGTGCCATAACGTGAGTGCCGGGGACAGGAGGAGGACGCGGACGAGGAACCCGACGACCAGTGCGAACAGCGCGAACAGGCGAGGCAGGACGAGACTCATGCTCACGACGCTCTGTACATGAGTCTGTCTGCTCAGCGTAAGGAGAAGGAGCAGGCAGTGGGGAGTCTGGCTGTAAACTGTTTTGGGAACTGGTGAGGCGGTGGACTCAGTAAGCTAGGAGGAAGGCCAGTAGAAGACGGGAGACCAAGAGCATTGGAGTAGAGTACGAATCTCATGCTATTGGACAAGCTGCGCACTCCGCCTCACACAACATTGTCACGCATCATCTAGCCGCTGGTACTCAATCAAGCCCTGGCCGCACCTCCGCCTCCTTGTCATCTGTTACGGCAATGCTCTATTATGCCATCACTGCACACTCTCCACTCGCCGCCCCTGGCCTCCCCACTTCGATCCCTCACCTGTGCCGCGCAGCACCTATATGCAATGCCAGCATCGTTATGCTATAGTATAATATGTCACGTGAAGCGGTTATATCGTTTTTTATTACCCTTTGAACAGATGGAACCCCTTACTTCTCCCAGCATCATTGACTCTTGAGCCGAATTAGTGGTGCTGGAAAGCCAAAAAACAGTGTGAGATAATTCATTTTTTCCTGGCATAAGATAAATTACATATAAATTAAAACTCATTAAACAACTCTCAAACTGCAAAATTTGTGCCCGATGAGTGTTGTGAGGGCGCGTCATTACCTCGTGTTCATTCAAACTCATACCCATCTCGACCAGACTAAAGTAATTTTGACCGTTGCAAAACTTGACGCATCGAATTGAGCCGCATCGAAACAAGCGAAAAGGACGCGCCCTAACAGGAAGTTGATCTCGCGTTGTGGCATGATTCAAGTGCAGATCGTTCACTCTGTGCCGTGCTGTCAAAACACCCCACAAGTCGACCGTCGGATAACTTTGCAGCCTGGACGGTGCAGCGCAACTGTCACGACAAAGAGCTCCCACGTGTTCTCCATCACATCCTCACACCCATCAACGACCTACATCCCGTCTCCGGTTCATTCGCCATTCCTAGTTTTCACAGCACGCTTTAAAACTTATAGCCTTCCCAAGCCGCTTTCCAGTCTCGTAGCTTACGTTCGTCACTACACTGATTCCGCCTGCTGTTCATCTGGAACTTTATTATTGTTGACGGCATGTTAGTTTCGTCAGCAATCATTTGGCATGCTACGGTCTACACCGAGTGATATTAAGCAATGCAGACCGCACCTAGTCCTTTTCCTTGCCGCGGTTCTTCCTCTCAGAGCGGCTGCAGCTACCTTTCTCAACTCCGGCAGTGGGTACTGCCTGCTCTCAGGGAGCCATCGCAGCGCAACCCAATGGCCTGGCTGATCACGAGACCCAAGACAGCGAGTATTCTGAAGGTACGTCACAATCCGCGTACCCGTTTTTTCAATCGGTTTACATGCGCATTCAGGACAAACCACATCTTCTCGAAAGGGCTTTCGTTGCATTTTCTGATTGATTTGTTACCACCCATTCCACAGGTACGAAGGTTCGCGTCGTTAAACAATGTCTCATTCACCGCTGGTACAAGCGCGCCGAACCCGTGCGAATAAGCCTAAGAAGTGCGGAAGGGGAAACGATCCACGCAAGCGCGCCCAGGAACAAGAAAGGCCGCGATGCTCCACTTGCTAGTGACTTTCGGGACGTTGGGCAACATGCACGTGACGCCCACCCTTTCAGCTGCAACCGCCACTCTCTCTCCCTCCTCCGCCTATGGCAATGCGGCGAGTGAGCATCTCACCGCCGCCACTCAGTTAAACGCCGGCCTGCCCCTCCGCCTACGCCTCTCTTTCAGCTGCAGCCGCCCACTCCCTCCCCTCCTCCACCTATGGCAATGCGGCGAGTGAGCATCTCACCGCCGCCACTCAGTTAAATGCCGGCCTCCCCCCTCCGCCTCCGCCTCAGCTGCCGCCGCAACCCTCTCTCCCTCCTCCGCCTATGGCAATGCGACGTGAGCATCTCACCGCCGCCACTCAGGTCAATGCCGGCCTCCCCTCCGCCTCCGCCTCCCTCTCAGCTGCAAGCCGCCACCCTCTCTCCCTCATCCGCCTATGGCAATGCGGCGAGTCAGCATCTGACTGCTGCCACTCCAGTTAAACGCCGGCCTCCCTCCGCCTACGCCTCTCTTTCAGCTGCAGCCGCCACTCCCTCCCCCTCCTCCGCCTATGGCAATGCGGCGAGTGAGCATCTCACCGCCGCCACACAGTTAAACACCGGCCTCCCCTCTGCCTATGCCTCCCTTTCAGCTGCAGCCGCCACCCTCTCTCCCTCCTCCGCCTATGGCAATGCGAGTGAGCATCTCACCGCCGCCACTCAGGTCAATGCCGGCCTCCCCTCCGCCTCCGCCTCCCTCTCAGCTGCAGCCGCCACCCTCTCTCCCTTATCCGCCTATGGCAATGCGGCAAGTCAGCATCTCACTGCTGCCACTCAGTTAAACGCCGGCCTCCCCTCCGCCTACGCCTCTCTTTCAGCTGCAGCAACCACTCCCTCCCCCTCCTCCGCCTATGGCAATGCGGCGAGTCAGCATCTCACCGCCACCACACAGTTAAACACCGGCCTCCCCTCCGCCTATGCCTCCCTTTCAGCTGCAGCCGCCACCCTCTCTCCCTCCTCCGCCTATGGCAATGCGAGTGAGCATCTCACCGCCGCCACTCAGGTCAATGCCGGCCTCCCCTCCGCCTCCGCCTCCCTCTCAGCTGCAGCCGCCACCCCTCTCTCCCTCATCCGCCTATGGCAATGCGGCGAGTCAGCATCTCACTGCCGCCACCCAGTTAAACGCCGGCCTCCCCTCCGCCTACGCCTCTCTTTCAGCTGCAGCCGCCACTCCCTCCCCCTCCTCCGCCTATGGCAATGCGGCAAGTCAGCATCTCACCGCCGCCACACAGTTAAACACCGGCCTCCCCTCCGCCTACACCTCCCTTTCAGCTGCAGCCGCCACCCTCTCTCCCTCCTCCGCCTATGGCAATGCGAGTGAGCATCTCACCGCCGCCACTCAGGTCAATGCCGGCCTCCCCTCCGCCTCCGCCTCCCTCTCAGCTGCAGCCGCCACCCTCTCTCCCTCATCCGCCTATGGCAATGCGGCGAGTCAGCATCTCACTGCCGCCACCCAGTTAAACGCCGGCCTCCCCTCCGCCTACGCCTCTCTTTCAGCTGCAGCCGCCACTCCCTCCCCCTCCTCCGCCTATGGCAATGCGGCGAGTGAGCATCTCACCGCCGCCACTCAGTTAAACGCCGCCGCCTCCCCTCCGCCTACGCCTCTCTTTCAGCTGCAGCCGCCACTCCCTCCCCCTCCTCCGCCTATGGCAATGCGGCAAGTCAGCATCTCACCGCCGCCACACAGTTAAACACCGGCCTCCCCTCCGCCTACACCTCCCTTTCAGCTGCAGCCGCCACCCTCTCTCCCTCCTCCGCCTATGGCAATGCGAGTGAGCATCTCACCGCCGCCACTCAGGTCAATGCCGGCCTCCCCTCCGCCTCCGCCTCCCTCTCAGCTGCAGCCGCCACCCTCTCTTCCCCATCCGCCTATGGCAATGCGGCGAGTCAGCATCTCACCGCCGCCACACAGTTAAACACCGGGCCTCCCTCCGCCTACGCCTCCCTTTCAGCTGCAGCCGCCACCCTCTCTCCCTCCTCCGCCTATGGCAATGCGAGTGAGCATCTCACCGCCGCCACTCAGGTCAATGCCGGCCTCCCCTCCGCCTCCGCCTCCCTCTCAGCTGCAGCCGCCACCCTCTCTCCCTCATCCGCCTATGGCAATGCGGCGAGTCAGCATCTGACTGCTGCCACTCAGTTAAACGCCGGCCTCCCCTCCGCCTACGCCTCTCTTTCAGCTGCAGCCGCCACTCCCTCCCCCTCCTCCGCCTATGGCAATGCGGCGAGTGAGCATCTCACCGCCGCCACACAGTTAAACACCGGCCTCCCCTCTGCCTATGCCTCCCTTTCAGCTGCAGCCGCCACCCTCTCTCCCTCCTCCGCCTATGGCAATGCGAGTGAGCATCTCACCGCCGCCACTCAGGTCAATGCCGGCCTCCCCTCCGCCTCCGCCTCCCTCTCAGCTGCAGCCGCCACCCTCTCTCCCTTATCCGCCTATGGCAATGCGGCAAAGTCAGCATCTCACTGCTGCCACTCAGTTAAACGCCGGCCTCCCCTCCGCCTACGCCTCTCTTTCAGCTGCAGCAACCACTTCCCTCCCCCTCCTCCGCCTATGGCAATGCGGCGAGTCAGCATCTCACCGCCACCACACAGTTAAACACCGGCCTCCCCTCCGCCTATGCCTCCCTTTCAGCTGCAGCCGCCACCCTCTCTCCCTCCTCCGCCTATGGCAATGCGAGTGAGCATCTCACCGCCGCCACTCAGGTCAATGCCGGCCTCCCCTCCGCCTCCGCCTCCCTCTCAGCTGCAGCCGCCACCCTCTCTCCCTCATCCGCCTATGGCAATGCGGCGAGTCAGCATCTCACTGCCGCCACCCAGTTAAACGCCGGCCCCCCCTCCGCCTACGCCTCTCTTTCAGCTGCAGCCGCCACTCCCTCCCCCTCCTCCGCCTATGGCAATGCGGCAAGTCAGCATCTCACCGCCGCCACACAGTTAAACACCGGCCTCCCCTCCGCCTACACCTCCCTTTCAGCTGCAGCCGCCACCCTCTCTCCCTCCTCCGCCTATGGCAATGCGAGTGAGCATCTCACCGCCGCCACTCAGGTCAATGCCGGCCTCCCCTCCGCCTCCGCCTCCCTCTCAGCTGCAGCCGCCACCCTCTCTCCCTCATCCGCCTATGGCAATGCGGCGAGTCAGCATCTCACTGCCGCCACCCAGTTAAACGCCGGCCTCCCCTCCGCCTACGCCTCTCTTTCAGCTGCAGCCGCCACTCCCTCCCCCTCCTCCGCCTATGGCAATGCGGCGAGTGAGCATCTCACCGCCGCCACTCAGTTAAACGCCGGCCTCCCCTCCGCCTACGCCTCTCTTTCAGCTGCAGCCGCCACTCCCTCCCCCTCCTCCGCCTATGGCAATGCGGCAAGTCAGCATCTCACCGCCGCCACACAGTTAAACACCGGCCTCCCCTCCGCCTACACCTCCCTTTCAGCTGCAGCCGCCACCCTCTCTCCCTCCTCCGCCTATGGCAATGCGAGTGAGCATCTCACCGCCGCCACTCAGGTCAATGCCGGCCTCCCCTCCGCCTCCGCCTCCCTCTCAGCTGCAGCCGCCACCCTCTCTCCCTCATCCGCCTATGGCAATGCGGCGAGTCAGCATCTCACTGCCGCCACCCAGTTAAATGCCGGCCCCCCCTCCGCCTACGCCTCTCTTTCAGCTGCAGCCGCCACTCCCTCCCCCTCCTCCGCCTATGGCAATGCGGCAAGTCAGCATCTCACCGCCGCCACACAGTTAAACACCGGCCTCCCCTCCGCCTACACCTCCCTTTCAGCTGCAGCCGCCACCCTCTCTCCCCTCCTCCGCCTATGGCAATGCGAGTGAGCATCTCACCGCCGCCACTCAGGTCAATGCCGGCCTCCCCTCCGCCTCCGCCTCCCTCTCAGCTGCAGCCGCCACCCTCTCTCCCTCATCCGCCTATGGCAATGCGGCGAGTCAGCATCTCACTGCCGCCACCCAGTTAAACGCCGGCCTCCCCTCCGCCTACGCCTCTCTTTCAGCTGCAGCCGCCACTCCCTCCCCCTCCTCCGCCTATGGCAATGCGGCGAGTGAGCATCTCACCGCCGCCACTCAGTTAAACGCCGGCCTCCCCTCCGCCTACGCCTCTCTTTCAGCTGCAGCCGCCACTCCCTCCCCCTCCTCCGCCTATGGCAATGCGGCAAGTCAGCATCTCACCGCCGCCACACAGTTAAACACCGGCCTCCCCTCCGCCTACACCTCCCTTTCAGCTGCAGCCGCCACCCTCTCTCCCTCATCCGCCTATGGCAATGCGGCGAGTCAGCATCTCACTGCCGCCACCCAGTTAAACGCCGGCCCCCCCTCCGCCTACGCCTCTCTTTCAGCTGCAGCCGCCACTCCCTCCCCCTCCTCCGCCTATGGCAATGCGGCAAGTCAGCATCTCACCGCCGCCACACAGTTAAACACCGGCCTCCCCTCCGCCTACACCTCCCTTTCAGCTGCAGCCGCCACCCTCTCTCCCTCCTCCGCCTATGGCAATGCGAGTGAGCATCTCACCGCCGCCACTCAGGTCAATGCCGGCCTCCCCTCCGCCTCCGCCTCCCTCTCAGCTGCAGCCGCCACCCTCTCTCCCTCATCCGCCTATGGCAATGCGGCGAGTCAGCATCTCACTGCCGCCACCCAGTTAAACGCCGGCCTCCCCTCCGCCTACGCCTCTCTTTCAGCTGCAGCCGCCACTCCCTCCCCCTCCTCCGCCTATGGCAATGCGGCGAGTGAGCATCTCACCGCCGCCACTCAGTTAAACGCCGGCCTCCCCTCCGCCTACGCCTCTCTTTCAGCTGCAGCCGCCACTCCCTCCCCCTCCTCCGCCTATGGCAATGCGGCAAGTCAGCATCTCACCGCCGCCACACAGTTAAACACCGGCCTCCCCTCCGCCTACACCTCCCTTTCAGTTGCAGCCGCCACCCTCTCTCCCTCCTCCGCCTATGGCAATGCGAGTGAGCATCTCACCGCCGCCACTCAGGTCAATGCCGGCCTCCCCTCCGCCTCCGCCTCCCTCTCAGCTGCAGCCGCCACCCTCTCTTCCCCATCCGCCTATGGCAATGCGGCGAGTCAGCATCTCACCGCCGCCACACAGTTAAACACCGGCCTCCCCTCCGCCTACGCCTCCCTTTCAGCTGCAGCCGCCACCCTCTCTCCCTCCTCCGCCTATGGCAATGCGAGTGAGCATCTCACCGCCGCCACTCAGGTCAATGCCGGCCTCCCCTCCGCCTCCGCCTCCCTCTCAGCTGCAGCCGCCACCCTCTCTCCCTCATCCGCCTATGGCAATGCGGCGAGTCAGCATCTGACTGCTGCCACTCAGTTAAACGCCGGCCTCCCCTCCGCCTACGCCTCTCTTTCAGCTGCAGCCGCCACTCCCTCCCCCTCCTCCGCCTATGGCAATGCGGCGAGTGAGCATCTCACCGCCGCCACACAGTTAAACACCGGCCTCCCCTCTGCCTATGCCTCCCTTTCAGCTGCAGCCGCCACCCTCTCTCCCTCCTCCGCCTATGGCAATGCGAGTGAGCATCTCACCGCCGCCACTCAGGTCAATGCCGGCCTCCCCTCCGCCTCCGCCTCCCTCTCAGCTGCAGCCGCCACCCTCTCTCCCTTATCCGCCTATGGCAATGCGGCAAGTCAGCATCTCACTGCTGCCACTCAGTTAAACGCCGGCCTCCCCTCCGCCTACGCCTCTCTTTCAGCTGCAGCAACCACTCCCTCCCCCTCCTCCGCCTATGGCAATGCGGCGAGTGAGCATCTCACCGCCACCACACAGTTAAACACCGCCTCCCCTCCGCCTATGCCTCCCTTTCAGCTGCAGCCGCCACCCTCTCTCCCTCCTCCGCCTATGGCAATGCGAGTGAGCATCTCACCGCCGCCACTCAGGTCAATGCCGGCCTCCCCTCCGCCTCCGCCTCCCTCTCAGCTGCAGCCGCCACCCTCTCTCCCTCATCCGCCTATGGCAATGCGGCGAGTCAGCATCTCACTGCCGCCACCCAGTTAAACGCCGGCCTCCCCTCCGCCTACGCCTCTCTTTCAGCTGCAGCCGCCACTCCCCCCCCTCCTCCGCCTATGGCAATGCGGCAAGTCAGCATCTCACCGCCGCCACACAGTTAAACACCGGCCTCCCCTCCGCCTACACCTCCCTTTCAGCTGCAGCCGCCACCCTCTCTCCCTCCTCCGCCTATGGCAATGCGAGTGAGCATCTCACCGCCGCCACTCAGGTCAATGCCGGCCTCCCCTCCGCCTCCGCCTCCCTCTCAGCTGCAGCCGCCACCCTCTCTCCCTCATCCGCCTATGGCAATGCGGCGAGTCAGCATCTCACTGCCGCCACCCAGTTAAACGCCGGCCTCCCCTCCGCCTACGCCTCTCTTTCAGCTGCAGCCGCCGCCACTCCCTCCCCCTCCTCCGCCTATGGCAATGCGGCGAGTGAGCATCTCACCGCCGCCACTCAGTTAAACGCCGGCCTCCCCTCCGCCTACGCCTCTCTTTCAGCTGCAGCCGCCACTCCCTCCCCCTCCTCCGCCTATGGCAATGCGGCAAGTCAGCATCTCACCGCCGCCACACAGTTAAACACCGGCCTCCCCTCCGCCTACACCTCCCTTTCAGCTGCAGCCGCCACCCTCTCTCCCTCCTCCGCCTATGGCAATGCGAGTGAGCATCTCACCGCCGCCACTCAGTCAATGCCGGCCTCCCCTCCGCCTCCGCCTCCCTCTCAGCTGCAGCCGCCACCCTCTCTCCCTCATCCGCCTATGGCAATGCGGCGAGTCAGCATCTCACTGCCGCCACCCAGTTAAATGCCGGCCCCCCCCTCCGCCTACGCCTCTCTTTCAGCTGCAGCCGCCACTCCCTCCCCCTCCTCCGCCTATGGCAATGCGGCAAGTCAGCATCTCACCGCCGCCACACAGTTAAACACCGGCCTCCCCTCCGCCTACACCTCCCTTTCAGCTGCAGCCGCCACCCTCTCTCCCTCCTCCGCCTATGGCAATGCGAGTGAGCATCTCACCGCCGCCACTCAGGTCAATGCCGGCCTCCCCTCCGCCTCCGCCTCCCTCTCAGCTGCAGCCGCCACCCTCTCTCCCTCATCCGCCTATGGCAATGCGGCGAGTCAGCATCTCACTGCCGCCACCACCCAGTTAAACGCCGGCCTCCCCTCCGCCTACGCCTCTCTTTCAGCTGCAGCCGCCACTCCCTCCCCCTCCTCCGCCTATGGCAATGCGGCGAGTGAGCATCTCACCGCCGCCACTCAGTTAAACGCCGGCCTCCCCCTCCGCCTACGCCTCTCTTTCAGCTGCAGCCGCCACTCCCTCCCCCTCCTCCGCCTATGGCAATGCGGCAAGTCAGCATCTCACCGCCGCCACACAGTTAAACACCGGCCTCCCCTCCGCCTACACCTCCCTTTCAGCTGCAGCCGCCACCCTCTCTCCCTCATCCGCCTATGGCAATGCGGCGAGTCAGCATCTCACTGCCGCCACCCAGTTAAACGCCGGCCCCCCCTCCGCCTACGCCTCTCTTTCAGCTGCAGCCGCCACTCCCTCCCCCTCCTCCGCCTATGGCAATGCGGCAAGTCAGCATCTCACCGCCGCCACACAGTTAAACACCGGCCTCCCCTCCGCCTACACCTCCCTTTCAGCTGCAGCCGCCACCCTCTCTCCCTCCTCCGCCTATGGCAATGCGAGTGAGCATCTCACCGCCGCCACTCAGGTCAATGCCGGCCTCCCCTCCGCCTCCGCCTCCCTCTCAGCTGCAGCCGCCACCCTCTCTCCCTCATCCGCCTATGGCAATGCGGCGAGTCAGCATCTCACTGCCGCCACCCAGTTAAACGCCGGCCTCCCCTCGCCGCCTACGCCTCTCTTTCAGCTGCAGCCGCCACTCCCTCCCCCTCCTCCGCCTATGGCAATGCGGCGAGTGAGCATCTCACCGCCGCCACTCAGTTAAACGCCCTCCCCCCTCCGCCTACGCCTCTCTTTCAGCTGCAGCCGCCACTCCCTCCCCCTCCTCCGCCTATGGCAATGCGGCAAGTCAGCATCTCACCGCCGCCACACAGTTAAACACCGGCCTCCCCTCCGCCTACACCTCCCTTTCAGCTGCAGCCGCCACCCTCTCTCCCTCATCCGCCTATGGCAATGCGGCGAGTCAGCATCTCACTGCCGCCACCCAGTTAAACGCCGGCCCCCCCTCCGCCTACGCCTCTCTTTCAGCTGCAGCCGCCACTCCCCTCCCCTCCTCCGCCTATGGCAATGCGGCAAGTCAGCATCTCACCGCCGCCACACAGTTAAACACCGGCCTCCCCTCCGCCTACACCTCCCTTTCAGCTGCAGCCGCCACCCTCTCTCCTCCTCCGCCTATGGCAATGCGAGTGAGCATCTCACCGCCGCCACTCAGGTCAATGCCGGCCTCCCTCTCCGCCTCCGCCTCCCTCTCAGCTGCAGCCGCCACCCTCTCTCCCCTCATCCGCCTATGGCAATGCGGCGAGTCAGCATCTCACTGCCGCCACCCAGTTAAACGCCGGCCTCCCCTCCGCCTACGCCTCTCTTTCAGCTGCAGCCGCCACTCCCTCCCCCTCCTCCGCCTATGGCAATGCGGCGAGTGAGCATCTCACCGCCGCCACTCAGTTAAACGCCGGCCTCCCCCTCCGCCTACGCCTCCCTTTCAGCTGCAGCCGCCACCCTCTCTCCCTCCTCCGCCTATGGCAATGCGAGTGAGCATCTCACCGCCGCCACTCAGGTCAATCCGCCTCCCCTCCGCCTCCGCCTCCCTCTCAGCTGCAGCCGCCACCCTCTCTCCCTCATCCGCCTATGGCAATGCGGCGAGTCAGCATCTCACTGCCGCCACCCAGTTAAACGCCGGCCTCCCCTCCGCCTACGCCTCTCTTTCAGCTGCAGCCCAGCCGCCACTCCCCTCCCCCTCCTCCGCCTATGGCAATGCGGCGAGTGAGCATCTCACCGCCGCCACTCAGTAAACGCCGGCCTCCCCTCCGCCTACGCCTCCCTTTCAGCTGCAGCCGCCACCCTCTCTCCCTCCTCCGCCTATGGCAATGCGGCAAGTCATCATCTCAA